ACGTGATCAAACTTCAGACATCCTCACCGTTCAACGGACACGACTTCTTTACCTGGAGCTTCGAGTTCGAGCTGCTGATGGAGGCCGCGCATCTTCTGGGATACTTCAACGGGTCCCTGCCATTCCCAAGCAACGGCACTGGGAAGGAACAAGAGATCTTCACATATCAGTCGCTGCTGGCGTACACGGTACTCCTGAGAAACCTGTCACCACAAGAGCAGCAGAGCATCAGAACGTATCGGAGTTATGGAAACTCCGCGGAGCTCGCATGGCACCACCTCAAATGCCTTTACCAAGCAAACGACAGCGTGACACAAAGCAGACTCATGCAACAGCTGACAACAATACAGATGAAGACCGGGGAAAAGGCGATGCAGTATATGAGTCGCTGCCAGACCCTCCGCGACCGCCTGCTTCGGTGCGGAGGAACGATCACTGAAGAAAGCTTCGTGACACTTGTCCTCGCCGGGCTCGGGCCAGAATGGAGAACCACACGATCACTTCTTCGAGCCCACGGAAGAATTTCGGAGATGCACCTCTGCGCCGAGCTTCACGCTGAACAACAGGAGATGGATCTGTTCGAGGAAAGACAACCAAGGAAGCAACAGCAGTTAGTCTTCTACACTCAAAGAAGAAATGACAACAACTACAACCGACGCAGCAAGCAAGATCAACGTGACAACCGAGGACTCACCATCGTGCCGCCGTTCTGCCACAACTGTCAGACTTCCGGGCACTCCAAGGTCAACTGCAACCGCCCTCGCGTTTACCGTGCAGCAGACCCACAAGTCGCTTCCACTCAAGCAAGTCCTCCAAGGCGCTCTTCAACATCTGCACAACAAACACCCAACATCATCAACTGCATGGTACACATCGACAACTGCGCACCCGCTTCACCACCCACTTACGCACCAGACGAAGAGGAATTCCCGCCGCCGCGCTCGCAAGGACTTCAGGTCAACCCGACATACGCTGCAGTCGCTAACGCCGAACCCACCGGGCGGAACACCTGGTTCTTGGACAGTTGCTGCGGTCAGCACATGTGCTCCTCCGGACGCTTCGTACAACACGAGCGACGCCTCAACCGTGACGTCGTCATCACCGTCGCCAACAACGAAAACCTGAAAACAAATAGACAAGGCGTGGTTCAGTTACAATCAATGGAGACAAACGTTATTCTTCAGCTCAACAAGGTCCTCATCGTCGACAATCTGGGATACAACCTATTAAGCGTAAGCCAACTAATGGCTAAGGGGATTCACCTGGAGTGCGACTCCTTCTCCAACGAGTTCCGACTTTACCACGGGAAGGGCGGTCTCTTCATCGGTCGTGCCCTCCTGAAGTCCGGTGTCTTCGTGTTGGACTTCGTCCCCGACCGCGGAACTGCCGACAGCGACGGTATCGTATCCTTCGCCGCCTGGACTCATCCGCCAGATCTTGATCCCGACTTCGACAGCGACGGCTTCTGGCACTCCAACACCATACCTGCAGCAGAAAGAACACGAGCATTAGCAGTTATCAGACAAGAAAGACAAGTACCCGCATGTGTCCCAACAAAACCATCACCTGCAGTATCGGCAGCAGGACCCAGCCGAGTACCACCACCAGCGACACGAGGACAGCCAACCGAAGCAGACCAACTTATGCCCGCCACACGAGAAGCTTGTCGAAGTCCCGCCTCGGTCGTCGCGTTCTTCTCCAACGCCGACATCTACCACCGCTCGCCCGGTCACCGCGCTCCCGACGACATCTGGCACCAACGTCTCGGACATCCTGCAAACAGCACGATACTTCAAACAATCCAAGCAGAAGTGTTAGAACGCAACGCCCTTCTGACGACGAGCGGCCAGGAACTCCGACGACCACGCGCACGGTGTTTCACATGCCCCGAAGCAGATCTTCCTCATCAACCTTTCCCAGCCCATCACAATCCAAGCGCACCCACTTACGCTCCGATGGAAAAGGTCTACAGCGATATTCTAAACATGCCTCGAGACGACACCGAAGCCGACTTCAACTACGTCATCACGTTCATCGACGCCGCAACCAGATACGTCTGGCACTTCAATCTCAAAACGCGCGATCAAGCCTTCGAGGCATTCACCACATGGCTTCCAATCGCCGAACGAGAGTCAGGAACCAAACTCAAGAGTTTCCAGTCAGACGGTGCACTGGAATACCAGTCACAACGCTTCAGGACCTATCTCGCGGAAAGGGGAATCCGACGCCTGGTGTCTCTGCCCTATGCTCACCAGCAGCAGGGGGTAGCAGAACGCATGAACCGGACCTTGCAGACGACGATGCGAAAACTGCTTCTGGGGATGAGGCTGCCCAACGCACTGTGGCCAGACGCGATGACACATGCAGTCCACCTGCACAACCTGTTGTCCTCGTCATCGCTCCCCAACAACGCATCACCACACCTGCTGTGGACGGGAAAAAGGGGCAGCACAAAATTACTTCGAGTTTTCGGCTGCATGGTACAATACAGACCCCACACAGCTCGAGCAGGACGCTTCACTCAACGAGCTCGGTGGGGACTACACCTCGGCATCGCCAAACATTTTCACGCGTGGAAGATCCTCGACATACAAGACAAAAATACGGTGGCATCACGTGATGTTATCTTCTACGAGCGACTGACGCTGCAGCATTACCTGGACAACATTGCCAACTCAGACGACCCCACCGACGGCTTCGCGGGCCTTCGCTCCTTCGCTGACCATGCTGCCGAGGCTGACGCAGCAGAAGAAGACGTACCTGGAGCCTCGGAAGCTGCCGGGCCACTCCCATTCTGTTCCATACCTGTTCCACTCGATGAAGATAATCCCCTCGATAGCAACAACCTCGACACCTTTTACCACTTCGCCGACCAAGGTTACGCTACACCGCACCCCGTCGACACGAATATTTCGGAACGCATCGGCCCCAATTTCTTACCTGACCCCGAAGACGGTGACGAAGCAGCTTATTCGGGGAATGACAATTCCCCTCGACACACACCCACGGGACTCCAGATTCTAGGCCTCTGGGTCTCCGTCCAGCATCCGCCGCCGCCTTCTACGCGTGAGCCTTCAACCTTGTCGCAGGCTCTGGGGGGGGAACATAAGGCAAAATGGAAAGAAGCGATGGAAAAGGAGTTAAAAGCTCTGCAAGACCGAGAAACATGGAAACTGGTACCTGCAACGAGCATCAACGGGAAGAACGTTCTCTCGGGGAAATGGGTGTACCGCATCAAGACCAACTCAGACGGCTCCATCGAACGATTCAAAGCTCGATGGGTCGTACGAGGCTTCGATCAACGATACGGAACCGACTACACAGAAACCTTCGCCCCAGTCTCCCGTCACACCTCATTACGCATCCTACTCGCCGTCGCGGCCACAAAAACACTACCACTACGCCAAATCGATGTCGCGAATGCGTTCCTATACGCACCTGTGGACGCTGAGATCTTCGTCGAACAACCCCACGGATTCATCGACGACCCCACGAAAATATGCCGACTGACAAAATCCCTATACGGGATCAAGCAAGCCCCGCGGCTCTGGCAGCAGCATCTTCACAGCCGTCTCGTAAAAATCGGCTTCCTACAGCTGCCGCATGACCAAGGGATGTACCGACTGCAGAAGGGAAGAGAGTATGTTCTGCTCATCGTCTACGTCGACGACCTGCTCTACATCGGCTCAACTACCGACATCGCCACCTGGTTCGAAGGGGAGCTGAAAGAAGATTTAACTCTCACGGTGTCCGACGAAGTTACGCAGTACCTAGGACTGAACGTCGTCGAAGACGACACGGCGTTCTACCTACACGCTGGAAAGTACTCAAGCACCGTCGCGAAGAAATTCGCTCTAACACCGACTGCGGTCCCAACTCCCTACCGCTACGGGAACAACGGCAGCGCCTCTACAAAACTCCCCGCGAAACAAATCCAGGAGTATCAACAGAAGCTCGGCTGCCTACTATTCGCAGCAGTAACCTGCCGACCCGACCTATCCTATAGTGCGAGTCAGCTGGCGACACATCTGAAGCATCCGCAACAGGAAGATCTCGAAGAACTCAATCGAGCGCTACTCTACTTCGTCTCCACGCCGACGATCGGGCTTACCTACAGCAAGGCAACAACACCGTCCGTACGACTACTCGGATACGTCGACGCCGACCACGCGGGAGACAGCGAAAATCGACGGTCTAGGACGGGCTACATCTACCGACTAGAACCTATCGGAACTATCTCCTGGCAGTCGAGCAAGCAGGAGTTAATCGCACTATCCTCGGCTGAAGCAGAGTATATCGCCCTTTGTACTGCGACCAAGGAAGGACTCTACCTACGAGAGTTACTCGAAGAAGCGAAGATCGCGACCCTGCCCGCCTTCTCACTCCTCTGCGACAACCAATCTGCGATCAAAATCGCGAACAAGGACGGCTTCGCCAATCGAACCAAGCACATCGCCCTGCGGTACTTCTTCGTCAAGGATGAAATCGCGAAGGGGAGACTTCAACTCAGTTACTGCCCGACGACAGAAATGGCCGCAGATTATCTGACGAAGAAATTGGCGAAAGCAAAATTCGACTACTGCATGCTCCTAACCGGGCAAACAAACGCCACCGGATCTGAACACTCCAGCACTCCAGAAACGAAGGGGAGTGTTGGAAATATCTCAAGGACTTAAGCGTTTCTGAAGTGTAACACTGTACTCGAGGAAGATTACAGGGGAGCACGCGAGTCAACGGAGGTTACACGAGGGGGCGGACAAAGAATGCGAAAGGACTCGAAAGGTCGCAACTGGAGGTTGCGACTGACCGTTACAACATCACGGATGGTAACCGAAGCGGCAATCGAGTCGCTGTGCGACTCGATAAACCGTTCCTGTAACTGTATTCTACAACTGCTTTCTTATCTACTATATATTGCTGTATGCTTGTTTCTTTAATCAATCACTTGTTCTCACATACTAGTACAAGGGTTCAACTGTCTCAACTTCCGCTGCACTACTCCAAGTCTCAAGTCTCTACAGCTGGGACTTAGTCTCTGCAAAAGATCCTAAGGGCTTTTCTCAGCCCAACACCTTCGTTCACCTTACATTCTTCTCTTCGTAAATGCTTGCGTACCTATGGTGACAACGTGAACCCACCTGTTCGATTTCTAGTGCACACACCAAATATTGGCATCTAAAACACATACTGTAACATATACCATCAATAGCGTGGAGGTGGTCAGGATGAAAATATATAAGGTAGTGGTACATGGCCGTGCCGTGGGAAAGGTGCGAGTAGGTTGATGAGATGACCATTGATCTCACTTTGGTCATCATGAAAATGCTCATAGTAATGGGAATGTTGCCAACCTAGGCCATGCTGTAGGATGGAGCGGGAAGGTTGATGACCGTTGATTTCACTTTGGTCATCATGAGAATGCTGTTGGTAACCCCCTGGGATCCGATGCCACTCTCGCGGAAGCCCTGCGGAGGGGGAGAGGCGTACCGGGGGGAAGGGGGGGTGGACGGATTCGATAGGGGAGAGGTGAACGAGTGAAGGGGAGCCACACTGAACAGAAAATAAGGCAGTTGGACGAATCGTACCGCAGGAAAACCACACAGAACGCCACAAGCAGAGCAGCCTGCATGATACCCTACCACGTACTGGAAGGGGAAGTGGACCGGCCTCTGGCAGGCGTTGAGTGGATGAGCAAAAAACGCATACACGAAGCAAATATGCTACCACAAGCCACACGCATGCAATCATGGCGCCAAATGCCAGCTTACCTGGAAGGGAAAGTGGCCAGGCCCTCTGGCAGGGACTGAGTTTGACGAGCAAAAGACATATGAGACGCGGGCACGCTACCGTAGGCCACATGAATGCAATCCTGCTACTGTAAGCCGCATGCATGCAAACATGGCAGGGACCAGCCTATCTGGAAGGGAAAGTGCGAAGGTCCCTCGTCCAGAGGCTGAGTTTCTGAGCAAAAACGCATACGCGGAGGCAGCCTACCTGGAAGGGGAAGTGATCGGGCCCTCTGGCGGGCGCTGAGTTGATCTGCACGGTGCCTGTCTCCATGGCGTCTGATATCATGATGGCCTTGTTGATGTCGCGCGTGAACACACAGCCCTGGAATGCGGGTAGACAGGTTAACACATACAGGAGAACACACAGAGGTGAAGAAGGCACAGGTCGATCTGCACAGTGCCCGTCTCCATGCCATGTGCGCTCATGGTGGCCTTGATGATGCCCCGCGTGAACACACAGCCCTGGAGGAAAGGTACAGTCAGACAGACACAGGGGAACACACAGGTGAAGGCACAGGCTGAGCTGCACCGCGCCTGTCTCCATGGCGTGTGGTGCCATAATTGCCCTAAAAATACACAGCTCTGGAGGTCTCCATGGCATGTGGTACCATCATGGCCGTTATGAATACTCAGCACAGGAGGAGAGGCATTGGGGGGGGGTGGTGGGGTTGGTGCCTGCCTGACTTTGCAGCGCAGAGTTGGAGGTGTTGCCATGGTGTGCTGTACGTGACCAGCGGGCGGCACCGCTCGTACCATACCAACAAATGCATTCGTACACACACACGCACATGCAGCTGTAAAGCGAAATTGGAGGCGCTGCAGTGGTAATGGTAGTGGCATACACTCGCACTTTACTCCACCACGGTAATGTGGATGACTGGCACCACAGGGGGCCAGAGTCACAAGCACGCACACAGACACATAACCCCAAACCCAGCTATAGAGCAAATTTGGAGGCATGTGCAGTGGTTCACACTTTCCTCCACCATGGTAATGCACATGACCGGCACCACGGGGCCATGATCACCCCCTCTGCCCACACACCAAAGCAGTTCCCGGCTAGCCTGGGGTGCGAAGTTGCTAGCGTTGCAGTTGGACGCGCCCTCCTCCACTGTGGTGATGCGGATGACTGGCATCACGGGGCCAGAGCCACGCACATACATAACACTGAACCCACCTGCAGTGCGAAGTTACTAGCGTTGCAGTTGTGCACGCCCTCCTCCACTGTGGTGATGCGGATGACTGGCATCACGGGGCCAGAGCCACGCACATACATAACACTGAACCCACCTGCAGTGCGAAGTTACTAGCGTTGCAGTTGTGCACGCCCTCCTCCACTGTGGTGATGCGGATGACTGGCACCACGGGGCCAGAGCCACGCACATACATAACCCTGAACCCACCTGCAGTGCGAAGTTACTAGCGTTGCAGTGGTGCACGCCCTCCTCACTGTGGTGATGCGGATGACTGGCACGACGGGGCCGAAGGGCTCCTCCCACGCCAGTCGCATGTCGGGCCGCACGTGATCCACGAGTAGGGGCCAGATGAGATTGCCATCTCGCTTGAACTCCTGGTGGGGGCGAGAGGCGAAGCGGTCAACGTGAGGAGGGAGGGGAGGCAGACGTGAGAAGAGCTCTTCCCACCCCCCCCGCACGCATGTCGGGTCGCACGTGGTCTAACAATGGCGGCCAGATGCGATTGCCCTCTCGCTTGAACTCCTGGTGGGGGCGAGAGGGGAGGGGATGATGAGATGGGGTGCGTGATGATTGTGCACCATCACACTCACAACCAACACGAATACCCACCCTGGTACCTGGCATAATTTGACTCC